TTTGGTTAAAATATTTGTTTCCAGTTTAGGATAGTCGTAACAAACACTGTCTAGTATGTAAACATGTTTATTAAATTCACTCAGACTATAATAACATGGGTGTGTTATTTGTATTAATATGAATGTCCCTTTATAACTCAAGATGGCAAGTTAGGTAAACAATGATTGGTAGTAAAGTGCTGCCTATTTAATAAACCATCGTCCGCCTGCACGGTGTTGTTCCGTTCGGACATTCCTCCCTCTACAACACCGTGCGGTAATACCATTCATAATCGTGTATGTCACGTGGTTGCGCAATAGAAAGTTTACCGACCAATAGAAAGCTTTGTTACAAAGACTGGCAGAAAGCGCTCGGAGCTCTGTATTTCTGATGTTTTCGGCTTCATTACTGCCGATATGTGTTGCAGTGATATCACGAGCTTTGGGGTATAACACCTACTCTTCTATAGTAGTCAACAGTGGTGACAACACTATTACCACTATTAATATCAGTGAGTTGCATGATGTATGGATATTGTCGCTGTATCGCCTCGACATCCAAGCCAACACAGCTTTAGCTGTGCTCAGCGACATTTATTCTCGGGTCAGGCATTTTCACCGCCTGGCAACCATCATGGTGAAACAAAGGCCAATAAATTCTCAGAAAACGGTATTTTGGGATGGTTGTTGTCACCCCCTACATATGCAACATATTTAAATTTGGTTGGATTTCTTCAAAGTTAAGTTTGTGCTGTTTTCTCGATTTTAGCTATTTTCACCGGCTTTTTGATCAGTGCACAGCAGCTCGCGCAGAGTCCATAGAAATACATGGTACAGTGGTGCGCGTCTTAAATAGCAACGTGGAGCGTTTAGTGACTAAGCTCCGCCTCGAAGATTTTGATAGCTTGGCCAAGCGCGTTGAAGAAAGAAGTTATATGATTGGCTGTTGTTAAACTGATTCTAAACTGTGAGGGCATTGTCACATACACATACTTATATATTTATTGCTGTAAACCAATAGAACATTTGTAATTCTAAGGATGCAATAAAGTTATTATTATTATTATTATTATTAGTTCTAATGAAATACTTCAAGGTGATAGTGGGTGCTTCGCCGAAACATTCACCTTGAAAATTCAAGATGTTAATAAACATGCCCCTACCCCTTTCCAGACTACCACAACAATTAAGTTCACAGTTTTGTGGTAAGACTCTGACCCTTAAAAATAATCTTGGATAGTTTAGAAAGGCAATATGAATACAGAGCATATTTAGCATGATTTTATTCATGAAAATTATACCTAAAAGCTTGTTAATAATAATTCATCAATACTCATTGTATGAGATTATAAAGTGGCGAGAATAGAAGGAAATACTACACCATTGTTACGAACAGCAGTGGAAAATACAAATCATTTATATTCGTCCAGTCATCCAAACGGACGACTCTACTGTAATTTCGGTCAGTTTATAAAGAAAACATGATTTTTGGTAATACTTTGAAAAATTCTAAAACTTTCTGCAAAATTTGACCTGTTTGTAGGTTTTTTCACATAAATGGTACATATATTTCGTTTATTTCATTATACATGGCCCATTCCTTACCATCCAGTATTTGAGTGGTAACTAGTGTAACAATACATAACTAAAATGTACCGGCTGATTCTATTAAATACAAATTTATTGCAAATATTTCTAAAAAAGAAAACAAAATGTACAGTTATATCTAGATTGTACACTCAACATTTGTAAGGATCTACGTCTCTGTATACACCACAGATGATTAAACTGAGCAGCAAAATATTGTTTTTTTCATCATGATCCAGTGACAGTGGAATTCATGGTAATTTGTGTAACGTTAGTGTACAGCATCCCATTCCAGTATATGCTTTAGGCATTGATTCAGTATATGTCCATTCATCACAACTAACATTATAACATTCCACACTGTTCAGCCAGGTGTTGTAATCCCAACTGTACCCGCCCACTATAAAGATCTTCCCGTCGTTCACCGTACATGCAGCTTCGGCTCGTGGCTCAAACATAGGTGTCAGGTTGCTCCATGTATCAGTCATAGGATCGTATTGGTCAACCGAGGGCACACACAGTAGATTTCCAGATGAATCGACCGTGGCACCACCCACAAAGTATAGCTTTGCCTTCACAGAAACCAGAAGAGCAAAAAATCGCGGAGTTGCCATGGGTCGTTTGGTTTCCCATTTGTTGGTTTTAGGATTGTATCGTTCCACTTTATTTGACATGCGCCGGTTACCTGGATTATGATAGCACAATACAACGTTGAATGAAATTAGGGAACATGTTAGAGCTAAGGTAAGTGCATTCTCTTTCTATGTTGTGCTCAGATTGGTATGTTGCAACTCTATATGCCAAGTTCAGCAGAACCGTGTTTGAAATCAGGAATATAATCTACGGTATTTATGCGAATTTTGCGAATTAATTTATAATTGAAACGACTCTCTGTACAACAAAATTAAGCAATCTGCGCTCATCCCCTTAAAAGACACTTACAGGTGAAAAAATGAAATGTGCAAACGAAACGTAAATACAAGTTTCAGCTTGTTTCTTACCTGATCCGCCCATTCCATATAGTCTTCCTCCATGGGCAGCAACGGCCACACTTCGTCTGGCATCGCTGAGTGGCGCCACGGCTTGCCATTGGTCGATTAATGGGTTGTATCTTTCCACGTCAGCCAATGAGGTGTCATCATCTACGCGGCCACCTGAGAACATACGTGACAAATCGCATTTAACATCTGCACATATATCAGATATACTAGTATATAAACTTGGGAGAATACGAATTGGTGACGTTAATAACAAGATATTGGTATTTAGGCGGAAATCATGATTTACCCAAAGTGTTTGGTATTGCTTGCGCGCTCTATGATATGATAGGTATATTACTACCGACGGAGGTGAAACGAAATTCACAATTCTTATAATCATGCTTGTACATACCTACAGCATATAACATTCCATCCAATACACCTAGCTGAAAACTCTCCCGTTTATTTTTCATCGAAGAAATCTGTATCCATGAATCCGTCCTTGGGTCGTATCTGTAGGCTGTATCAGTGGGAATCTCCGATCGATTTGTTGTCTTTCGTCCTCCGGCGACATAAAGAAAACCACCAAGTACTGCCACTGAAATATACAAGCGTTAATTCACAGTGATATATGGCACTATTGAACTGTGTTTACGGATTTTAGTCATTATTTGTAGCTTAATTGACAACAAATAAGTTGGTAAAAGTCTTCATTTGTCTGATGTAATGGACAAAAATCGATGGTAAATAAAGCTGAAAGGGACTAGGCCAGACAGAATTGGAAAATGCATATATGTAAAATAGATCAAGAGCTTAAAAACAACACGTATGTTTGATGACACTTTTAAGTTGATTGTTTGTTCAAATATTGGAGTTGATTGAAGTTACATCCAGGGAATTATAACATATAGCATAGCCGACAGCCGAGCTAAAAAGTGTGCATATATGTACATAAAAAGATCCCTCCTCAATTTAAAATGGTCAACACTTAATCTGTTTCAATTGGGATTCTTTATCTGACTTTGCTCACCGCTTATAAAACCTCGACATTAAAACTGTGCATGGAAAGGCGATCTTTTGAGCATGGGTAACCGGGATATATGAACGCCTCGCTATACTGATCGTCGACAGTCAATATAAGTATATGAAATAGCGGCTATCTGTACATGATATTGATTCAACTTAGCGTTCGCTTTTCTTTTTCAAGTTTGTGATATAATAGTGTGTATATACTGTGACCGTCTTCCTACCTGCATGGTGGTGTAAAGGGTGTATCATTCGTGTCAAAAGTCGCCATTCTTTGGTTTGTGGGTTATAATAAGTCACCTCTGAGTTCACTTCGTCTTTTGATAGCCTTGGATGGCCACCTATCACAACAATAGTAGCTAACTTGATGGTTGATCTCGGGGTGGTGCGCGTAGACTGCAATATACTCTGTCTGAGCGGCAGACAGTGATAGTGAAGAGCTTCTTTCACCAACGCTTCGCATTCCGGTATTCGCATCAGAAACGTCACCGTCTCGACGTGATCGACAAGATCGACGGGTTTAATCATTGGTAGGCGAATACATTCAAGCAGCATCACGGAGTAACATATCCTTCTTTCTTTATCGTAAAGTATCCAGCTAACGAACGACTGAAACACTTCTAATTCGGAATCCACTTCGATATCATCTCGACACAGAAACTTTTTCAACTGCTCCGGTGGTATGCGACGAAAATCTTCCGACTTTGAGACTGTCTTGAAATGCCGGGCTGCCATTTTACCAGCCGCTTCCTGTAGCTCGTTTAGTTCAAAGTTACTGACTAAAGTTAATATTGTAATGCAAGATTTGGGTGTTAAATTGAGCATCATGTGTTGGCAACAAATCTGCACGGCGTGTGGCATTTCCAAATAGACGGAAGCTCTTAAAAGTTCCTCCAGGTTATCCACATGTATTTTCAGTTGCGTTGTGTACATAGACTCTAAAAGTAGTTCTATCGATCGGTGACTTATTCCGTGTAGATTGTACACAAACTGGTCATCGCCGTTCTCTTCGGTACCATCGGCAAATATTTTATGAAAATATCCGCTACATGCCGATAAAACCAATTTATGAGCCCCAAAACGGTGTTTACCGACAGCTAACACTACATCGTTGAGTTGTTTCTTTCTCCACATTTCAGCCATTCGCCGTAAAACTCCATCGGACGGGGAATTCGACTTCGGTGTGTTGTTTACGTCCGCGTCGCCATTCTGTGACGCGACATTTTCCTCCGCCTTCCCATTCGACAGCGAAGCGTTACTTCTCCTACAATATCTTCCATCCCGTTGGAAGTTCGCTCTATTAGGCAACCTCTCCGACATTTTACATCTTTGGTGTAATAAAGCTTCACCGTGGTACTGTTACACTTTTGTGATACCATCTGATCCGTAAGCGTCGCGCCAATAAAAGGAATTTCATCGCCTACGCACAATGGAACTCCGTTGTCAACGAGAATAAAGCATTGTAGAACGTTGTGTTAGCTATAGGCAACCATATTGATCCGTCCCCGTAACAACCACGAACATAACAAATAACCGTCCACAACAATTAACAAATTGAATTCCGATATTTTCCTGTATTAATTAAACGTTGACAGCCCGACTCTTCCTCTCGCAAATTGAATATGCAATTTGCCGCTAGACTAGATTTCACGCTCTATTTCTATTTACATACTGGCTGTAAATAAATGTAGAATATGACAGTACTAAATACACAAAGCAAACTACCGCTCTACCGATCATTTCCCAATTCCAACAAGCATCTATCAGCGTCGACGTCAGCATGAACACATTTTTTTTTACTTGGTCGTATTTACAAAAGACTTGAAGAGACCATCTTAAGTCGCTGGTTCAAGTCAAAAACCCAAAACGGCGAAGTTTATAATCTCTACTTGAACCACATTTCAAAACACTGACCGTAGAACACCCATTCACATGATAAACATTTCATATATTCGATAAAAATATATCAAAACTGGCTGTCATTGTACCTAAAAGGCCTTTTTGTAAAGCCTTACAGGGCACTAGAATGAATCCGTGTTTAATATGTAGGGTAGTTTCCCAGAGCAGAATGGACCGGGACGTTAATGTCTATTGTAATAGTACCCCTTTCCCCAACCATTCTTTCGGTGTTTAGTTCCACCTTTGCTCTCTCCAATTTTGTCGCCTATTTCTAGTTTAGTAAATCACGATTATGACTCTCGGAATTTTGAATGTCATATATGATGGGATATATATTCACTCCGGAGATTCACTGGTGGGTTTGCCATCAAGGAGCTTCACTGACGGGTTCGCCATCAAGGAGATTCACTGATGGGTTCGCCGTCAAGCAGATTCACTGGTGGGTTGTCCATCAAGGAGATTCACTGGTGGGTTCTCCATCAAGGAGATTCACTTGTGGGTTCGTCGTCAAGCAGATTCACTGGTTGGTTGTCCGCCGAGGAGTTTTACAAATTAAATTAAGTTTATCTTATCATTTTGAAAAATATATATATACCCTTATTTTTTATTTTAATAACTGTTTGAAAACCACCGATAATAGGCGTGTTTGTCTTGCAGAAAGCGCGTCAAGTTCAAATTCAAGTGCTCCGGCCCCAACAATGGGGATAAAACGTTCTGAGTAACGTTGAACTTGCGGCGTTTTATTCGTTATTAAACGTTAATTTTTTGGTTTTTAAACATAACATACAATTATATATACGTAAGCTAACTGTGGGAAACATATATATTAAAGACGTTCACATATACCATCGGACTCACGGGATCATGATGGTTGGGTTTTGGGCTACAGGAATATTCGAACATTTATCCAACACCAGAATTCAGACACTTTTAGAGAGGATGATATTTCCTTTTCTGAAATGAGCAAGAATGTCGACATGTTTATTCTAAACTTCCAATTTGGAAAGAAAAGATAAGATTGGTAGATGAAGGGTACTTTTGTTCTAAAGTGTCTATGAGAACTGACTTCGGAATCGCACAATGTGCGGAATGTGAATCTTTTGATGAGAATTTATTTTTGCGTGATGTTGCTCTGGCACCTTTGCACCTTACATATGTTTGTAACAATCCACACATGACAATAAGATTGTGGGTTAACATTTTAAATACAATTCGTGACTTGTATGCTCATTTGATTGAATGACACGTTGGATGTTTAGTGAGATCCGTAAAACAATGAATGGCCGGATAAGTTGATGAAAGAAGCAAATTGTAATCCTTGGAAGTCACTTAGTCGACCATAAAGAGATGCGTACTATATTTGGCTATTCGCTTAAATCAAGAATTCGAAGCGCAAACATTTCAGTAGCGAGTTCTTAGAAAATGGTAATAATGCAGGTGTCGCTTAGAAAAACTCCAATAACATGACCAATTCTGAAGAATTAAAAGATCTTCCAGTATCTGTTCGCGGGGGACGTCTATCTGACCTTTATGAAATTGTTAACATTTTTAATAATCAATTTCTCAAAAGTGTATATACACTGACTTATTTAATATAACTCAAAATACTAAGCAAGGGTAACGTAATTTCCTACAAATCATTGTATATTCTCAGTGTTGACATTGTCCACTCAGAAGCCAGGACCACGCTTAAAATACACTGCTTAAAATAACGCCTACCTTTCAACGACACACACATTTTAGGCCACCCGCTTTAAAGTTTGAAGCTAACAGCCTGAGCCAGTTGAAAGAGAAATTCCTTAATGTAATGAGAATTCTAAATTCATGAAGATTTTACCAGATTTTAGATTGGGGATGAACTGCAGGATTTATCCAAAAAAGCAATATATACTCTCAGCGCTGATAATTTGAGAGTTGATTTTCATCTGCATCTCTTCATCTACTTTGTGTTATTTCTACGCCGGTGCCCCAATTGACATACATATTTATAAAATGTTTATATCGACCATAGCTTTATACTGTAGAGGCGCATGCCTGAAAAGTGGCAGTGAACAATTTACGGTTGTGTTGGTTGTGTAGTTTCGATCAACACAATCAACAACTATCGGTTTCAGTTCGCCCCTAAAATCAAGCTGAAACCCTTTGTGTTTTCAAATGCAGGAAATAGCGTTTCAATGGGTCTAAATTTCAATTTTTTTACGGGGTAGCATGCCCCGCCCCCTAGTAAGGTCACACCTTCGGCGAGATCTCGTCCCAAGCTAAATTTCGTGCGGCCGCCTCTGTACACCCCCTAAGAAATAATTTATAACGGAAACAATAATAATTATAATGCTTTTATTGAAATCATTTCCTGTTCAGAATCTGGATTTTTAAAAATACAATAAAGTTTCAGATACATACAAAATGGCAAGACAAAATACAAATGAAGACAAAGTAAAAACATAATAAAATAAAAACAAGGAGAACAAGGAACGGTTAGAAAAACAAAAAGGAAAAGGTATCTTAATGAGTTATATCAGAGGTACATGTACATTACTTGGGGTTTGCAACTACGGTGACATGATACAAAAATCCCGTTTCAATCTCGCTTTCGCATAAGCGTTCCAACTCAGAAAAATGCGAATGCGCATGCCCGAGGTAACTAGGATACTGGGAATCAAAATAGCTGCTCACAATTGAATTATGACGGATTACGATAACTATATTTTCTGTACATTTTCTATGTATTACATGTTTTCACTATGAATGTGGTGATACATGTTTATTGTTTTATTACAAACCGCCTATGTCATGTCAGCATGTCGTAGCATCAGTCTCGCTATCTACGAGATGAGACTTGAATGGGATCTTGGCATGATGTCAGGAAACAAAAGTACGCTAGCACTGAACTTCGAGGGCGCTGCTTTGGAACACTCAAAATGGCAGCTTCGTTGGATAAAAACAAGCCAGGTAAGCAACGTGCTTAGTTTAGCCTGTCAGCGCTTACTGATCGATAAATTCTCTGTTGGATGTTGTTTTCTCTGTATTCGTGAACTACTAGTATGTACTTATCTTGATTATAATCATGTTTCCAATAACTTCACGGGTTTCTGTTTAGCGTTTTCATTTCCAATACATGCTGAACGGACACAGTTGTTTCAATCTGTGTAACTAAAAGTCATCTCCCTCATTTGGAATAATATAATAAATGTATTTGTGTGACCACACCGCAGAACATCGTAAATGGAATCTTAGAATATTAGCGTTAATTGTCAAAATAGCCGTTGTTCATCTAAAAACGGCATTCAAGTAAAACCAAAGAAAGCTTAGAAAGTACTCCCATGCGCTTGAGGTATTGGAGAGATGACGTACAAATAAGGAATACTGTTATTTACTGAATACTGTAATTAGAAACTAATCTTCAATACACATAAAGCAAACATTGTGTTTATTGCATACAAAATCATTGAAATATGCCTTATTTTGGCCACAGACTTGTCTTTGTCATTTATATTTTTTCATATTAGCACATGTGCTTCTAATAGAGCAAATACAGCATTTAAAAGTATAATGGCAAGCAATGATAATGGTGGTTTCAAATAGCTATGGTTTAGCAAATATAAATATTTCAATATTTTGGTCTTATAACAACAAACAACAAAATTATAATCTACAAGAGTACTTAAAGTGGCATTCAGCCTTTGTAATGCTGTAATAATAATATGTATAACTGTAATATCTTAAGTACTGTTGCAGATAGTGACATACAACTACGGTAGTACTGTAATTGTGTTGTCAGGATAGATATATGACTGAAATATCATATTATTATATGTAGTCATGATTTCATTAAATATTTATAATTTTTATATCATAGCCATTTGCAAACACCCTGCTCAGTGTTTGCATTAATATTTTTAAATGTCATATTTGCTCTATTTGAAGTGCATCTGCTTAAGTGTAAATGATAGAGGCAAGTCCATGGTCAAAATATAATCAATTTTAATGGTTTTGCATGCAATAAATACACTTTTTGCTTTAAGTGTTGGAGATGTGTTCTATGATATAGTAAATATAATATTCCTGATTTGTTCTTCATGCTTTAAATACCTTTAGCACACAAGACTTCTTTCTAAGCTTTCTTTAACCTTTTCACCACTAGACTTTCTTGCCCACATTTTTCTTCAATTTCTTGTTATATTCTTCAATACTTCTAGAAATGAACCCTAAATTTTAAAGTCAACAGACAAAGTTTGAGTAAATTTTCAGTTTTTACTCGAAAAATGTGGCTATTTTTGTGCCAATCTTCTGAAATAAAGTGCAGACTGTAAAAAAGACTATTTTATGAATTTGTGATGAAAAGAGGGAAATGGTGAAAAGCATGTCTGATCATTACTTTTTTAGCTTCGTTGTCATCGAATATGATGGAGCGGAGCTCATGGGTTGACATTGTTGCATTTACAAGCAATATGATACATCAATGACTATGTCGTAACATTTAGATTGGATAATCTTGTCATTTATATATACAAATTTATATAATTGAATTAAATAAATTGAAATGTTCCTTACTATTAGTTGAGGTTAGTTTAGCCCAATTTGTTTCAATCACACAATGATCTCCAGACCTGCAGTCCAAACCAATCAGCAACTTATCATATGTCATAAAAAGATAATGACTATTTTCATTGATTCACTTGGTATTGTAGGTCCCGTCATTGATTCATGTGGTATTGTAGGCCCTGCCATTGATTCATGTGATACTGTAGGTTCTGGCATTGACTCATGTGGCATTGTAGGCCCTGTCATTGATTCATGTGGTATTGTAGGCCCTGTCATTGATTCATGTGGTATTGTAGGTCCTGTCATTGATTCATGTGGTATTGTATGTCATGTCATTGATTCACGTGGTATTGTAGGTCCTGTCATTGATTCATGTGATATTGTAGGTCCTGTCATTGATTCATGTGATGTTGTAGGTCCTGTCATTGATTCATGTGATATTGTAGGTGCTGTCATTGACTCATGTGGTGCTGTAGGTCCTGTCATTGATCCATGTGGTATTGTAGGTCCTGTCATTGATCCATGTGGTATTGTAGGTCCTGTCATTGACTCATGTGATATTGTAGGTCTTGCCATTGATTCATGTGATATTGTAGGTCTTGCCATTGATTTATGTGATATTGTAGGTCTTGTCATTGATTCATGTGGTATTGTAGGCCATGTCATTGATTCATTTGGTATTGTAGACCCTGCCATTGATTCATGTGGTATTGTAGGCCCTGCCATTGATTCATGTGGTATTGTAGGTCCTGCCATTGATTCATGTGGTGTTGTAGGTCCTGTAATTGATTCATGTGGTATTGTAGGTTCTGTCATTGATTCACGTGGTGTTGTAGGTCCTGTCATTGATTCATATGGTGTTGTAGGTCCTGTCATTGACTCATGTGATATTGTAGGTCTTGCCATTGATTCATGTGATATTGTAGGCCCTGCCATTGACTCATGTGATATTGTAGGTCATGTCATTGATTCATGTGGTATTGTAGGTCCTGTCATTGATTCATGTGGTATTGTAGGCCATGTCATTGATTCATTTGGTATTGTAAACCCTGCCATTGATTCATGCGGTATTGTAGGTCCTGCCATTGATTCATGTGGTATTGTAGGTCCTGTCATTGATTCATGAGGTATTGTAGGTCCTGTCATTGATTCATGTGATATTGTAGGTCCTGTCATTGATTCATGTGGTGTTGTATATTCTGTCATTGATTCATGTGGTATTGTAGGTCATGTCATTGATTCATGTGGTATTGTAGATCCTGTCTTTCATTCATGTGGTATTGTAGGTCTTGTCATTGATTCATGTCGTATTGTAGGTACTGTCATTGATTCATGTCGTATTGTAGGTCCTGTCAAGCGTGATAGAAAAGGCGAACCTCGGAATGCTGGTCGAAGACAACAAAGCAAAGACCCTATTGATGAAGATTCTCTTGTAATCAAAACATTTCGGTATGGCATTGTTCTCATCAAATTAGTTTTATTTATAAAACATTTGGCCCCATAGAAATCTGAAATGAATGTATATAGAAGGGAATTGATACATGTTTATACATATGTATGCATATCATGTTTAAATATTATTTCTACTATGTTACATAGTTAGTGTTACCCTGAAAAAACACCTTTTGGTTTTAATTTGGTTTCTTCAAATTAAATTTTTTTGGGGTCAGTTAGCACATCAGTTCGAAGGCCATGCTAGCAATTATGTTCTTATATTTGAAACAAAAAGATTGGTGATGCAGTATTTTGTTCACACATGCTCAGATAGACTTTCTTGATGTGCATAAAAAAAAAACACACAAAAAAAAAAAACACATTGGATCAGCAACAGATCCTATTTGGCCTTAAATTTGTGTTACAGAAAATGACACCCTCTATAGGTAGATTATGTTGATAACTAAATTCAATAATTCCAATTTGTTTATATTTACTTTTTTATGGCATTAGATCACAATGTGACATTAGAATGTCGCAAGGTCATGTGAGATTTCGTGAAAATTATATGATCACATAAAATTTGAAATTATGTTTATTGGTGTCCAGGTGAACAACAAATTAAATTGAAAAAAAAATTACAGCATATATGTGAGCTATTTATGCACTTATACACTTTGTTCTCAGTTATTATCAGGTGGAGTTGGATGGAAAACATGACAAACATGAAAGATTAGTCAAACTGAGTCGAGATGTGACAATTGAGAGCAAGAGAATTATATTTTTATTACACAGAGTCACAAGGTGAGTGAGTGATTCAAAGTATGAGGGTTTTAGGAATGAAGGAGTTCATTTGGGGTGGAGGTATGAGGGTTATAGGGGTAAGGGGTTCGTTTTGAGGTAGAGGTGTGAGGATTTTAAGGATGAAGGGGTTCATTTGGGGTAGAGGTCTGAGGGTTTTAAGGATGAAGGGATTTGTTCGGGATAGAGGTGTGAGGGTTTAAGGATGAAGGGGTTCATTGGGGTAGAGGTCTGAGGGTTTTAGGGATGAAAGGGTTCATTGGGGTAGAGGTATGAGGGTTTTAGGGGTAAGGGGTTCATTTGGGGTAGAGGTATGAGGGTTATAGGGATAAAGGGGTTCATTTTGAGGTAGAGGTGTGAGGGTTTTAAGGATGAAGGGGTTCATTTGGGGTAGAGGTTGAGGGTTTTAGGGATGAAGGGGTTCATTTGGGGTAGAGGTATGAGGGTTTTAGGGGTAAGGGGTTTGTTTGGGGTAGAGGTTTTGGGGTTTTAGGGATGAAGGGGTTCATTTGGGATAGGGTTTTGGCATTTAAGGGGTGAAGGGGTTTGGGGTAGAAGTATGAGGTTTTAGGGTTGCAGGGTTTTGTTTGGGTAGAGGTGTGAGGGTTTTAGGAGGACAGGTATGAAAGGGTTAGATATACAAATATAAGAGGGTTAGGGATACATGTATCAGGGGTTAGAGATACAGGTATTAGGGGATTTGAGGTTCGGGTATTATGTGGTTAGGGATACAGATATGAGAGGTTTATACATACAGGTATTAGGGGATTTGAGGTTCGGGTATTATGTGGTTAGGGATACAGATATGAGAGGTTTATACATACAGGTATTAGGGGATTTGAGGTTCGGGTATTATGTGGTTAGGGATACAGATATGAGAGGTTTATACATACAGGTATTAGGGGATTTGAGGTTCGGGTATTATGTGGTTAGGGATACAGATATGAGAGGTTTATACATACAGGTATTAGGGGATTTGAGGTTCGGGTATTATGTGGTTAGGGATACAGATATGAGAGGTTTATACATACAGGTATTAGGGATTGTTGGTATACAAACTAGGTATGAGAGGTATAGGTGAGGGGTTTATTTGTACAGGTATGACAGTTTAGAGGTACAGGTGTGAGAGGGTTAGGGATACAAGTATGAAGGATTTGAGATATAGAATAGAATAGAACCTTCATTGCTATTATAATTCATTATTGTCTGGTCTCCCTGTAACTAAGATAAAACTAAGACTAAGATAAAACCTCTTATTCGTGTACAAAATGCAGCAGCCCGCCTTGTCACTCGTGCTCGAAAATATGACCACATTACAGACATTTTTATTAAACTTCATTGGTTACCAGTTGTACAAAGAATCAATTTCAAATTACTTTTACTAGTGTATAAATCTTTGTATGGTTTTGCCCCAAATTATCTATGTGAATTAATCGAATTTTATGTACCTAGTCGTAGTTTAAGATCTGAATCAAAGTTTCTTATTAAAACTCGTCAGGTGTGTAGTAAAAAGTCCAAGGTGTTATACAAAGACCGTGCTTTTGAAAATTTAGGTCCTAAACTTTTTAATGAATTACCTCTGTCTGTTCGTTCTAGTCCTT